CCCACCTCTCTTGAAATCGAGCCAAGACTGTCCTTCACATGGGATCCTTAGACACTCCCAGAGACCCTCAGTCCCACTGCAGGCAGGAAAACCAGGGGGCTCAACTCTAAACCCTGTTGTAAACAAGTGACTTCGAATCATGCTTGTGCATGCCAATGTAAAGCAAAACCATCTGATTTTAATAAGCTCTTACAAAACTTACTTAATATTAATCTAAAGTGAGTCCGTTTGATCATATTTCTGGGAGCATTAGATAACAAGGTTTGTAATCTAATGCTTCGGCTGCATTTATTTGCTAAAAAATGTAAATATTATTAATTGGAAATGAACCCTCATCAAGTGACCGATTTATTGGTTGATTGATTGGTTAATAAGTTGTCATATTTAAAATGCAATAATCATCAGTTCATTAAGTCAAGTCAAGTCAAGTCACCTTTATTTATCACAATTGACTAGATGATGTGGAGGTTGAACAAGTAGTTTTGAGAATTTCATTTCTGATCTGAGAAATGCACCAAAGTGACTGAGAAAAACTGTAATTTAGTTTTAACTTTTTTCTCTTGTGCTCACACATTTATTTGATTAAAAATACAATGAAAACAATAATATTGTGAAATATTATTACTGTTTAAAATAACTGTTCTCTATTTCAATTTTAAGTCGTAATTTATTGCTGTGATCAAAGCTGAATTTTCAGCATCACTACTCAAGTCTTCAATGTCACATGATCTTCAGAAATCATTCTAACATGCTGATTTACTGCTCAAGAAACATTTCTGATTATTATTAATGTTGACAACAGTTGTGCTGCTTCATATTTTTGTTTAAACTGAGATTTTTTTTCCTTTTTTGTTTGTTTTTTTAAGGTTTGTTTGATGAATAGAAAGTTCAAAAGAACAGATGGATGGATGGATGGATGGATGGATGGATGGATAGATAGAAATAGTCAGATAGATAGATAGATAGATAGATAGATAGATAGATAGATAGATAGATAGATAGATAGATAGATAGATAGATAGATAGATAGATAGATAGATAGATAGATAGATAGATAGATAGATAGATAGATAGATAGATAGATAGATAGATAGATAGATAGATAGATAGATAGATAGATAGATAGATAGATAGATAGGAGGAGGAAAGTCTTATTGCTCAGATGTTGCTCTTTCATTGCTTAGTTATTACAGTTTTGCTTACACACATTTTCAAAACTTTACACACAAATCCAAGAATTGCACACACAAAATGCAAAATGCCTCACATCTCTTGCAAAATGAAGCACTGTGTTCAAAATATCACAAATACATCTCAAAAGCAAACATTTGCAAACACCTTTGCCACGATATCAATTCCTGTTAGATTTTTGTGTGTTATGTAGAGAATTGTGTGTTGTGTTTTGCATGCAAAAAGTGTTTTATGAAATTGAAAACCGAGTCAAAGGCCGAGAATTAGTGTATGGTTTTGGAGATTTGGTGTGTGCTTCTGCTGTTTGAGTGTCAGCTTTCAGAAATTGTGTGACAAGTAAAGATTTTGTGTGTAAGCAGTTGAAAAAAACTGTAAGTCCTAAAATTTCTCAGGAGAAATAAAAATAGGCAATAATAATTAGTGCATAGTACTTATCATAGAGTAAGAGTATAGCGCTGCATGTGAAACTGAAACATTTAATGAATTGGATGAGAAATGTTTGAGTTCATATTAAGATCTCTGACTTTTCATTTTAGTCTTGATAGTTTGAGACATTGTTTTGATCTAAAACTCTGGAGGAGACACATGTGAGATTACTGGGATCTTTTTCTAAACAGGAAACGCAAGCATAGGTTTCCATTTGATTTCTAATTAATCTCATGCAAGCAATCAAAGAGATCTTATTTGTGATTTTTCCTTACAGGTCGATTTTAAAAGCGTCTGAAGTATCCAAATACTTCTTGATTCCACCGTTTATGCGGATGGATGGAATTTGTTCCGTGCTCCGTTTGGCTCCAGTCAACTTTTAAAGCAGGACACTCCGTCTCCACGGCAACCAGGCGTCCAATCGCTTGTCCAGCTGCAGATTAGTTCAGCTGTGGGGGGTTTGGAGGAGGAGGAGAAAGACTCCGATGGGAAAGAGGAGAGGGAGGGGTGGGAAAAGAGAATGAGAGCGGAGGAAGGCAGAAACATTGGAGAGAGATAAAGTTGCCTGCAGCTGGAGTTTGAGTCTGTCTGAGCGACTGCTGCTTCTCTTCTGCTTGCAGGCCGTTTGCAGGATACACGGGGACCAGCTGGGAAAAAGAGGATTTAATCAGCCAAAGCGTGTGCTGGAGAAGGAAAAAAAGAGGAAAGAGGAAAGGGAGGAGAAGAAGGGAATAGCTGCTCAGATCATGAGAGTGGATGCAAGGAACATTTAGATGAAAAAGAATTATATGTAATCCATAAAGTCTATGAGTATTTTAAAATGTAATCTACTTGTAAATTCTTAATTTTTGAAATCTGATTACGTAATCCAGATTACATGCAA